CCTAATCACAAGGCATACATAGGCCCATCATAATCTGCCTTCACCCTATGTGTATTATTCCCTTTTATCCTATACCATAAGCTCCAGTCACACTGAGCTAGTCTGCCCCAAATGTCTTGTACCTTCCCATCTCTGTGCCTTTTTATATCTGGTACCTTAGTCCGGAATGCCCTTCTCCCTGATGGTTAAAATTCTATTTAAATTCAGTTCAAAAGTCACTATCAATGGGAACCCTTCCTCAAGTGACCCAGTTAGAAATAAATGTATCCATCTTGCTATCTTCAGCTCTGTTTATGGTTCATTCTGGGCACTGGTATCAGTGTACACCTGACAGTTGTGTGTGTGTGTGTGTGTGTGATATATCTTCCACTAGATACGTTTCTTGAAGTCAAAGACCACATTTAATTTAAATTCACATCTGCCTAGCACAATGCCTTCCTCATTCTCGGCATGAAAAGAAATGAATGAAACTGAATAAATATAGTGTGGTTGTAAGCTGACACATTTCCTTCCATCATTCCTAAAGCCTAATCAAAATGCTAGTTAACAGTGACCCCAATTTGCTTTTCATTCCGTGGGGCAGTTTTAGAATACCCAGCTTCCCAGTATGCTCAGAATCACAGCTCCCAAAGGTAACTGGGAGTTCTAGGAGTAGCCAGCTCATAAATGATAGAACGTCTGTTCAGGATGAATTCTATCCAAGTGAGGTACTTGCTGACTGGGCAAGTTATGTAACCTAGTGTCTCAAATGTCATCATTAGCTATAGATTATCTGGATTTAATTCTGTATTATACTATTTTCATACACTGGTGCAGTACAAAATCTGTCTGGGTTTCAGTACTTAACAATCACACCACATACAGTACTAGCTGGCTGACCCTTTCCAAGTACTTTTGTATTGCATAGAAAATACTGACGCTTATTTCCTTAAACTACAGACTCAGCTGCTTGATGCCACAGGAACGGACCTCAAATGAGACAACCCAGAGATGATGTAAGTCATCTGTAGTGAGTTAAAGCTTTTTGCAACTGTCAGAATATGGTGGTAGGGGATGGGGAGGTTCCAAACTCGAGTAAAAGTGGTGTTGGTAGGAAAAGTTCTGTCTGACATCCCGCTAGACACCATCATCCCAACTGCACAAAGGCCATGTCTGCTTCCACAGTACCCCCACCAGCAAAGACCCTACAAGTGACTCAGTAAATGTAAAATAAATCCGTAACATAACATTTAGTGATCTAGCATATCCTCCCCTATCTATGGCTTTGACTTCTGCCTGTGGCACACTAAAAATTCCTGGCCCTGGAAGTTTAGCAGTCTGCTTTTTTATCCCCTATCCAGAAACAGTATTTAGATACCATGGGAAAGAATAAGACATGCCTGAATACAGAATTCTATTTGGAATAAGATCTGATATATTCACAAGAAACTTAAAGTCAGATTTTTGCCCAAGAGAAAGAGGCTATCAATCACTTCAAAAAAATACTGAGCAAATACTAAGTGCCCAGAACTAGTATTTCTCCCAAAATGGAAACCTGGTCACACAGAAGTATGTGTATTTTTACCATATTTTGGTTCTTCTGAGTCCTAGAAACAGACAAACAGATAGCCAAGGTGAAGGCACAGAACAAAAAGCCCAAAAAGGCTGTTGGATGAAAGAGATGCTGATGTGCCCCACAGTTACACAAAAGAGCTTCAACGCCCCCACATGAGTTTCTAATTTCTGCTCTATTGGAAGCTTTTCTTTCTTTCTTAATATTTTATTTATTTATTTTACAGAGAGAGAGCACAAGCAGGGGGAGCAGCAGGCAGAGGGAGAGTGAGAAGCAGGCTCCCTGCCAAGCAGGGAGCTCAAAGCGGGGCTTGATCCCAGGACCCTGGGATCATGACCCGAGCCGAACGCAGACGCTTAGCTGACTAAGCCACCCAGGCGCCCCTACTGGAAGC